AACCGTGGTGAACAACTGGCATGTGATCATGGTAAGAACAGCTCTCACATTTCTTTTTAATCAAGGAAAGAACGTGCATGCTAGCTGTTATACTGTAATGGCCTTTCAGAGGGAGGGGGGGGGGCAAAGGGGGCAATTTGCCCCGGGCCCCCAGTTTAAGGGGCCCCAAAAATTAGAAAAAAAAATGACTTGGAACGTTGTTTTGATATAAATAATGGTATGAAAAAAAATTTCTAGACCTAAATTTTACAGATATTGGTCTGAAAAAATGGGTTTTACCCATGTCTTAACATGAATTTGTTCGGAAAAAAAATTTTTAACCTTAATTTAAGTGGTGTTTGTCCGAAAGAATTTATTGACCCTTCTTTTAATGTCCGGGATCGGAAAATTTTTTAACACCTCCCCCCTCGCCAACATTTTTGGGAAGAATAGGGGCCCCGAAATAAAAATTTGCATCGGGCCCCCGAATTTCTCTGATAGGCCCTGTATAGTGTAGCTTATTGAACTTGTCTTTTTTTACATTTTTAGGAAGGTTTTGCTATTGCCACAACCGAATGGAGTCGAATATTTTTTATGGTCTTTTATGTTGTTATATTGGTAAGCTTTTCTCGGAATGAAGTTCGTTTAGTTTAAGAAAGTCAATGAGGAAAAAAAACTGGAGACATGCCTATATCATAGATATCTTATATACACTAGATAGCGCATCTCCTTTAGTAAAATTGAAGCCAAGAATATTCCAGCAGTTACCCCCATTTGAATAGATGGCGGCCATGTTGGTGTTTCCCACTCGCTGATAAACGCTTAAAAAACAACAATAACTTTCATCATTTGAATAGTTTGAAAATGTATTTGGAATAGGTTTAACTTAATGTTTAAGTTCCCTGTTTAAGAAATAGAAAATATACGAGTCTTTTCGTTTCATGGGAATACCCTGAGCCTGCAATCACGGCTTCAATTTTTGAATTGCAGAATAGTTAGATGCGCTATCTAGTGTATATAAGATATCTATGGCCTATATAGGCAGCTTACTGGATGCAAGGAATATTCAGCACACCTCAGTTCGTCTTGAGAGATGGAGCTCGCTCCCTTCGAGTCGAGTTAGGATTTATCTACTTGGAATATTTGTCATTTATTTTTCCAACAGGTCGTGATGACAATTGTCGTTGCTTTTATTCTCGACGCGTTCGTCTTCTGTATCGAGTTTCGAAAGAAACATCAAAACAGTGCAAGTGAGTTTCTGCTGCTTCATTGGTTTTCTTTTTTGAAAGAAATTGGATACAAATGCATTTAGCTCATTCAAATATATTTCGCTTCTTCCAGAGGACACACACAAGGTCGTCTTTCAAACATATCTCACTAAAGATGAGCTGAAACTTGTCGACCCACGACTGGCCCAAACAGACAGAGTAAGTGTCAAATACTAGTATAAGCAGAACTGAAACAATAACAAGGGGGCTTTACAAGGGTGGGGGTGGGGGGAGGGGGTGGGTGACAAGGCATGGAGGGTGTAACATGATAGAGGTTCCAGAATTTATTTTTGGTTCCAACAACTCTAACGTTCTGACGTAATTTCTACAGGAGAGAATCATTTTTATTGGTGAACGAGTTTTAACTCGAGATGATCTCGTTGAAGAAATGTACAAAGACGAATTGGAGGTAGGTTTTGGAAATCATCGAGGTCCGAAATGGGTCGTCCCTTGTTGATCCAGTGTAACTACAGGAGGAAACCTAAACTAAACTAACTTTATATACACTGGATAGCTCTATCAGTTCTAAACTGTTCTCGCTAGAGGTCCAGTAAGGATCACCTCTTATTGATCCAGTGTTACTACAGAAGGAAACCTAAACTAAACCAACTTTATTTACACTGGATAGCTCTATCAGTTCTAAACTGTTCTCCCTAGAGGTCCAGTAAGGATCATCTCTTATTGATACAGTGTTACTACAGGAGGAAACCTAAACTAAACTAATTTTATTTACACTTGATACCTCGATCGAAACTGTTCTCCCTGCCACTAACATCCCAAACAACGCGCTTTGTTTCTAGGAATCTTGTAGAAATCAAGATGACACACTCCGTTCCCAACAATCATTGCGAGCTAACCCGTCATTAAATGCTGATCGTATTGAGTTACATGACCATTCTACAGTATCCAGTGTGGAGGAGGACACGTGACCAAAGCAGTTGATGTCGAGGATCTCAAGTTAAAATTTGAAGAAATATGTTTGCATTATTGGGCGCCATCTTGGCTGATTTAGTGATACGTTTACTTTACACGTTATAGTGAGGAAATGAAGTCAATTTTCTAATTTGAAAAAGAAATATTTTCTAATTCTCGATTTGTTTTAAAACACTTTACCGTACCATCACTTGCTCGATACGACCAGTATACAGGGTGTCTCAAAAAAACGCTATGGAAATTAACAGGCTGTGGTGCATCATCAACTTTGCTAAACAATTCAATTTTTACATAGGACGAAAGAACAGTTATTTAGCTTTTCAATGATACTCTTTTTAAGTCGTAACGATGAGAAATGGCCACATACTCGTCAAATAAATATTGCCGGTCGAAATCACATTCTTCCACCGTTGGGAATTGCATGGAAAACGAAACACAGACAATTCCCAAGAGGGAATTAAAGTTGAATCATTGTTAAATTATCTAAATGAGCTCAACTCGTCAACCGTCGTCTTAGTGAGACAATAAAAACGTCCATTATTGCATTAAACATTGTTCAATTAACCACTGAACAGAGAACAATCGTGATCAAAACGTTTTACGAAACAAATACCTTGCAGCAGGCTCGCGTTGCTTTTTGATTGGTTAACTTTGCATAATTATGTAATGTATTTTCAATATTTCGACCGACAATTTTTATTTGACGAGTATATGGCCATTTCTCATCGTTACGGTTTAAGAAATATATCGTAGAAAAGCTAAATAACAGCTCTTTCGTCCTAGGTAAAAATTGAATTGTTAGCTAAGTTTGTGATGCACGACAGCCTGTTGAATTTCCATAGCGTTTTTTTTTAGACACCCTGTATATGTATTTTATGTGTGTTTTATCATATGGTTTTATAAATCAACCAAGATGGTGTTAATCTGATTGATAATATTAATATTTAATAAATTTGTCGCACAATCTTTTTTAAATATTTATAATCTATTAAAAGTGTATATGTTTGTACATAAACCTTAAAAATAGGGGGAGAAATTCTGGATAAGTATAAAAGAGTATTTTTTAAAGAATTCTATACATAATTTTATACCATACTGCACGTTCACGAATATAATTATTGTAAGGTAGTCTTTTGTTGTAAACTGTATTTTATTTTTGCGGTATTTGTCACAATTAGCCTTGCTCGTCTAAACGCCTTTTTTGGCGTACTGTTTCAGTCCCAAGTCTGAGAGTGTTCGCACCACAAAATGCGACTTTTTTATTATGTTTTCTGATGTGGAAAGACAGTACCCTGAAACTAGCGAATATCCGCTTGAGAAAGGTTAATTTCAGAGGGTTAATTTACACTGATCTTTTTGGACAGTTGCGCAGAAAACGGAACCCCCAAAGGGCGTGGTCCGCGTGGAGTATTGCCAGCGATACAAATGGTAAGTGTACAGCGGGGTTGCCCTAAAACGTGGAAAACACGTGGGAACACACGTGCGAAATTCGAAAATAGAACTGCCCAAAGTTGTCAAAGTTTATTTCAATATACAAAACGAAGTTAGTTTTTTAATAGTTTGACTGTAATAAACGTTCGTACCGGTACATCATTATACGAGGAGTTAGACAACAAAGCAAACTCCAATCAAGGTTTAATTCCCATGTTACCAGTAAAGATATACAATAAGATTGAATGTATATTAAAAGGTAAGTACTAAACATTGAATTTCACATCAAGAAGTTGACATGACTGCCTTACAAAATTGCAAGTCAAATCTTGTATACAATACTCTTTATAGATCAAAATTGTTTGAGAAAAATGAAGAAATATTATGGCAGAGATTACGTTGGTCTAAATGCTGATTTAAATCTTGGATAGAAGGTTTGTATTAATCTGCAAATGCAATTTATATTTGGGACAATTTTGAGCTATTTTAATATTAAAGAGCAATGTACGTGTCCCATTGTCAAAGGTGAAATCACATAAAACTACAACAATAGTATTTAATAATTTTTATTACGTATGAAATATCAATTTAAAATTCTTAACAAATACCTTGCAACAATCTAAAATTTAAATAACCCACTTATATAATACCCTTTTAGCCTCTGAACTCTTCAACTACATCAATAAATATAAAATATTAACTTCAGATATATACTTGATATCAATAACTAATTTGAATATATATTATAAATAGACCATCAGTGTCTTTTCATCTTTCTAAATGTTTCAATAATGGCCAAACATTTTAGTGAACTAATTCTAATTAAGTCTAAATTAATGATTAAGTTTGCTTTAATGCTAAGTCCCTTTTATTTAAAGCCCAGTACATAGAAACAAGTTTAGTTTGTTAAAAACCTGTCCTGACTTAGCAGTTTTATGTGATACATGACCATCGATGCAAAACATTTGATAGTAATCGTAGTTTTTGACATTTAATTAATTAAGCGCAGTCACTAATTCAATATCAGATCAACAATTGAACAAAGCCCGCCAAATTCAATCACGACTTGCGAATATTATAATTATATGTGCTGACTCATCATTAAAATAAGAGGTGGTCTCATATCACATAAAACTGCTGTAATATGCAAGCCACAATGAGTCTTGTCTTTGAAATTCTTTTAAATATTCTCCTACGGAGAATTTATGAAGGAAAAATTGCTTGCGTCTGTACGGGGGCTTAAACTTTCCTTATATTTATGCTTATTCATTACAATGTTAAATCCTTTGCAAAACCCAAGCAAGTTCTATGACCTTGTTTTGAGGAAGGTTTTGGTTTATTAACAATCTAATTACCATGACATGATTGTCTTTCACAATGAGTGATTGCTTACATGACAGAACAACACAATCTCTTGACACCGAACAATGTTTGCTTTCGCACTCGAGATAATTCAACCGACATATCATGCGACTTATTCACCATTTCCCACTCACCAATTTTGCTTGCATCACCATCGCCTAGCAACCTTGTAGCCTCATTTTCAAACTTGTTTTCATCCCCCTTTTCAGATGCTTCTGGTCTAGATTCGAATCCTGTTCCAATGACTTCCTGTTTTGACTCAGTCCCCTCTGATGCAATCTCTTCACCTGCCACTTCCGGTTTTGATTGGGTCCCAGACTCCTCCCCTACATTAGACTCTGTTTCCCCCTCAGGAACATTTCCAATGATTTCCATCTTAGGCTCGGCCTCCGACTCTTCGCTGATTTCCTCCAATGTAATTCTTGATCCGTTGTCGTCCGTGTCGGTGAGAGTAAACAATCTGCTCGTGTCGGATGTTGAAATTGTGTCTGGAGCGTCGGATGAAGTGAGTAAGTCAGACGCAAGGCTAGATACTTCTGTAAGATCATCATCATCACCTTAATGATAGAAATAATTAATAAATAAAGTTAGTCATGTAGTAACACTGGGCCAGTAAGAGATGACCTTACTGGACTTCCAAGGAAATTGATAGAGCTATCCAGTATAAAAAAAATTAGTTTAGTTTAGGTTTCCTCCTGTAGTAACCCTGGATCAATAAAAGATGATTATTACTGGATCTCTAGGGAAAACAGTTTAGAACTGATAGAGCTATCCAGTATAAACAAAGTTAGTTTAGTTTAGGTTTCCTCCTGTAGTAACACTGGAACAATTACAATAAGAGATTATCATTACTGGACCTCTAGGGAGAACAGTTTAGAACTGATAGTCTATCAGTTCTAAACTGTTCTCCCTAGAGGTCCAGTAATGATCATCTCTTATTGTTCCATGCAGTGTTACTACAGGAGGAAACCTAAACTAAACTAACTTTGTTTATACTGGATATATAAACAAAGTTAGTTTAGGTTTCCCCCTGTAGTAACATTGGATCAATAAGAGATGATCCTTACTGAACCTAGCTCTAGAGCTGTCCAGCATAAATAAAGTTAGTTTAGTTTAGGTTTCCTCCTGTAGTAACACTGGATCAATAAGAGATGATCCTTACTGGACCTCTAGGGAGAACAGTTTAGAACTGATAGAGTTATCCAGTATAAATAAATTTAATTTAGTTTAGGTTTCCTCCTGTAGTAACACTGGATCAATGAGAGAGGACCCTTTCTGTACCTCATGGACGTACATTATCCAGTATAAATAAAGTTAATTTATTCTCACCTTCCGGAAAAGATTCGGAACATTCCGTATTCTCCGCCATCACCACCACTTCCGGTGCGACAATTTCCGAAACTTTCTCTGGCACTTCACTCGGACCATCCTCGCCAGTTATCGTATCCTCGTCGGACTCGTCACCAGTCTCCACAGGTAGCTCGGTTGGGGAATCCCCCTCGTCGGAAGAATCCAGTCTCGTTCCATCAGGTCCGATAAACGAAACTTTCCGTGCCGGTTTAACGGGGAGTTGTTTAGCCATAGCACTAGACATATTATCTGAGGCGGTTTTTGATTCATTGTTAATATCCTCAGTTCCTTCGCTGTTTTCCGTAAGCGCTTTGACTGCATTTTGGTCATTAATGTCAGCAGCAGCTCCAGAGCTTTCCAATGTAGCCTCGGTTTGTGTTTCGTCGTTACTCGGTTGTTCCGTAGTGACGCTATCTTCCTTCGACTCGCTTGTTTGTTTTTTCGACTTTCTACGCTTCAATGACAATCCACGTTTGAAGAAGCTCTTTCGCTTCGTTCCTTTGTCTCCTTCGACTATCACGGATTCAGGCGACGACCCCTTACCTCCGTCGAATAAGGCTTCCCCCTCCGCCTCGCTAGCTTCCCCCACACTCAAGTACCCCTCTCCATCACTTTGCTCCGTGATCTCACCTTGCTTCTTCTCGCAAACAACCTGTCCTTGCTCCACACTTGACATCACATTCTCGACTGTGGACGCAACAACACTCCCTTCCCCGCTTTCATCTTTCTGTTCCTCGCTTTTTTCTCCCGTATTCTCGCTTTCTTTCACGCGAAGTTCACAGCTCTCATCAACCGAACTTTTCTTGCTATTCCGCTTAAAAAGACTTCTGCGTTTAGACTTCTTCTTTCCACCGCTAGCCGACTCACCGGTAGATTTCTGGCCAGGATCTTCGCCGGAGGATTCTGTCGCTTTATTATCTTCGACTGTATTCGTTGGCGTTTGAATGAACTCTTGTTCAACAATACCGCTAGCTTTCTCCGGCGTGTCGTCGCAATTCTGAGTCGCTACCGTAGCCTGCTGCTCCGTTTCGAGATCAACAGGTTGCAATTCGCCTTCCTTTTTCCCCTTGCTACTTCGTCGCTTACGAAATGAAAACTTTTTCGCTGATTTCTCTGATTTCGTGTCCATAGTTTCGAGTATGTTATAAAAAATATCGCCAGCCGTTATAACTTTACACACACAGAGTTCACACACAACGGACTAAAGCCCTAACTGATGACTGATCAAAAGCCAAAGCGCTTGTTAAATGCTTTGAAAATTGAAAGGAAGTGACATCATATTGAATTGATGTTTATCAAAAATTGCTATGCCTGAGTGGGACAGCTGGTCTTTTGTAGTTGTGCCTAGCAATATTTCACACCGAAAAACACATTAACTAAACTAAAAGTTCTGTACTGTGCTTCGAAACAGTATGTACAAAGTGTATGAAGGCTTAAAAGGTACTAAATTCTGTGACTATATCACCGAAAACCGAAAAATTATTTGTAATTAGCCCACTCCGGGTTAGGGAAGAATATTAATCCACATTCTCTCTCCGCCCATATTTTTAACGCCTTTTTGCAAACTCGCACGAACGGGTACCCGCACTTGAAAACAATATAACATCAAACTAAAACTAAATAATATTGACCACCAGAGGCTCATTTTCAGCAAATTTTGCTAAGAAACAGCGATATAAAGCTTTGGCTGTCGGTCAATTTCGTTCACAATGTCAAAGTTGGCATTGTCAAGCCTGAAGCCGCCAAGTGTCGGGATTAATGGAGCCGCCTTGTGCTTGTGCTTGCGACAAGTTTTTAAATGTTACTTGGATAATGCGTTCGCATTTCTTAAACTTAGTTACTAGTTTCTAGATGAAATTCTAAGCAACTTTTCAGCAAAGACAATGTCTTTTGTCAGCACATTCAAGTGAAATGCAAATTCTATTGAAACTCGATGGCGAAAGGTGTCAATAGACATATTGGCCACGCTGCCTCGATAAAGCGTGCGCGGCGAACTTCAAAGAAAGGCCATGGTGTTAAAAACTCGTTTCGGCTGCGCGGATTAAGGTCGCGGTCACACTAGCGCTTGTGCTTGGAGATTACCACCGGATTAGCGTGCTTGCTTGAACACATACCAAGCTCATGCTAGAATGCAAGCCAAGCACGTCGCGGTCACACTCAAAAAAGCAGCGTTTGCTTGCTTGCTGTTGTTGACAGATAAACATTAAAATCCTATATAATAATCTAAAGTCCATTATATTAAAGTCATGCAACGAATATACATTATTCTTGTGATTTCGTAGGCCTAACTAAGTTTAGACTTTAGAACATATAGAGAAATGTGTCTTTGTCCTTAGTTCAGGCGCAAATCGCTTGCCCGATCGTTATTTATTATCATATTATATGTATTAAATAGGGATTGTATATTATATAATTACACGGGCAAAAACTAAATTACTTTGAAACTTTGAATTTGGTTTCTGCTTCAGGTTTCCATACAGAAATACCGTTTATTCATTCGACTCACTGCTTAGCGCGTTGTTGTGTAAGCAAAATAGTTCGAATCTACCGCGGTTCTGTCTCTATTCAAATTGAAAATGACATGTTGAAATTACTTGTCTATTTGCCTCCTAAACTCCACATTTTATTGGCTGAATTATTTAATCCACTTGAGATCCACATTCTAGCACGATTCAAACATACCCTGTAGTGTGTTTGGATCGTGCTTCGGCGCCTTTGAAATTTCAAGCAAATCGTGTCAGATTTCAAGCATGCTTGGGTTTTGTGTTTTGCGCGGTCACACTGGCAAGCGCGCTTGGAAGGTGATGTGTTGAGCGATTCAAGTGGATTTAGTTCAAGCAAGCACGATTCTAGCGCTAGTGTGACCGCGACCTAAGTCCAGCAAATCACTAAAGTCGCGACCGAAAGTTCTTGTCGAGTGATATTGAAAATTAGCAGCAATTTTTGTGCGATAATTTGGGTAAAATTATAGTGCTTTTTTTTTGCGATACATGACAATGTAACAACATCACAAAGGTCAAGAGTCGTGTTAATTGTCAGCGAAGCTAGGCGAAGGTCGAGGGTCTTCACTCTTAGTTCAGACACAAATCATGACCTATACTGAACCAGCACGTTTGAAATATTTTTTTTAGGTGGTTTAGACACAAACCACGGCAGCTTTTTGTAGATTACTACCTACACTGGACCACCACGTTTGAAATATCATTTAAGCATATTACCTTGCAAATTACTAAATTATTTAGGTTTAAATTGACCTATGGCCTTGCTGTTTGTGCCAAGCACATGATACAAATTGTCAAGTACCAGTTTGCCATTCGTAGCTGAGGAAACCATTTCAGACTATACAAGCAGGTTATTAAAACCAAACAAAAGGCTCAAAGAATGGGTTCTATCATTCAATATTATCAAAAACATCACCAAGACAAGCCTTAAATTGTCACGAATGTGTTTCATGAATGAGATAAAACTCGCTCTCAAGCCCCGTCGGCTAAATAGGTTAATGAATAAAGCGCCGTTCTAGAAATCCGAGATTGGAGATTTTTATTTGCTGTGACAGCGTTTCTTCGACCAGCGTTACGTCGTTGTCACGAAAATATTTCACGGACTTAAATTGGATTAAAAAACATACTCTTTGGCACAATGCATTGGGGCTGTTGTTCCTTTTTATTGCGTCCGCAGGTTAGGGCTGTTGGTTTGCCAAATTTTCTGCCATTCAAGTCTCAAGAGCATATGAATAATAACTTAGCATCTAGTTATTTGGCCCTTGTCCATCTTTATGTGTGAACAATAGAACTTAAAACGTATCTCCGGTCAGTTTCAGCTGTAAGGCTAAGAGACCTCGATACAATTGACACACTGAATCCTCGAAAATGGCTCATTAATATGCCTTGTCACAGGTGCTCCTACTATTCTCTCCTAATATCCTAAACGTGCAAATGAGTTGAAATTTAAGGTGAAGTGTGGCCTGCGTAGCAGCCGGTTTTTTGAGAGAGGACTTGCGGGCGGGGGAGTTAGGGCGGGAGAACGGCGCGCGGGCGGAGAAAAGGGCGAAGTGCGAAAGACAGCTGTTGGAGAACTCTATAAAGGGATCGGTCATTATTTATGGTGGGGGGTTGCACCGAAGAGAAATGTTTTTTTTTTTTTTTACTCAACCTCAAATATCAATTAAAAAATAAATACCCACCCCTGGCCAAAAACTTTACAAAAGAATACCATTCAGTTGTCACACATGTCCTTTACCATTTCTGTGACATGAGTTTGATAACGGCTTGTGAAATTTTGTAAAGTTTTATGTTGTCTGTTGTCTGCTGTCATGTTTTCAACAAATCGGACTGAAATTATCAAGATAGTGATTCACATATTGTATTGACATATGACTGTTGACATTGCTTTTCAGTCTCCAATATTTGAGTGAATCATGCTTTGTAAATGACAATAAATTTTTTGATTACCCAACCCTTGAATTGTTTTGTTTTTCATTTACCCAACCTTTTACTCACTCAAAATTTTGTTTACCCAACCCTTTTCTCTTCGGTGCCCCCTCCCGTCCCCCGCCATAGCTAATGACCGGTCCCTAACCACAAGCTCTCGACAACTGGACTCTGTAGCTCAGTTGTTGGTAAAGCCGCCGCACACGAGAGCAACTTGCTGAGCTAACCGCCTCGCGAGGCGATTAATAATTAGCTCAGCAAGTTGCAATGCTCTCGTGTGCGGATAGTTTTCGTGAGGATTTAACCTCTCGAAGCCTTGAGGAAAATATCTATCGTGTTTGATATTTTTCACCTCGCGAGGAAAATATCTCGGCGTCTGCGGATGTTGTGAGCTAAATGCTGAGCTGTTTGAATCAATTAGCCAATGACAAACCATGGTTTCTTCATGTGACTTGGAACAAAATGGAGGAAAATGCAAATGATTTGTTATTTATGTTGTTGTTGAGTAGTTTTCTCAACGTGTGCGGCGAAAATACATAGCTGAGCTAGCTGCCTCGCGAGGCTGTTAGCTCAGCAAGTTGCTCTCGTGTGCGGCGGGATTTAGAGCGCTGCACTGGAATCCGCGCTGGAGTCGCAGGTTCGATCGATTCCTGCCAGAGGACATATAGTTCGCAGTTGCTCCTGGTTATATGTGTTAATAAATGTATAACATTTACAGTCGAAATTTCAATCAACAAAGTCCTTCAACATTGTTTCCAGATTGTCCACCTTCGTGAAATACAACCTCATGCTCGCATCCCGGCAGCCCCCATCCGAAAATTGAAACGGAAAATTATTTCCAGTTTTTCTTAGAACGAAATTTCGGCTGCGAGCAGGCTACGTACGGCTAGGAAATGTTATCTGGTTTGCCCATCATCGTGAAACATGGCTAAGGAAACAATGTTTCCTGGATTAGAAGGTTTTACCATGGATTGTAAAATAACTGGATAGGAAACTTCCTGACGTCACAGTCTAAACCTAGTTGCAATCTGTGACGTCACGTGTATTGCCAAAGTTCTCGGCATTTTTGTTGTTTCGCTATATTTTCCGCTTTAAAAGAGTAATATTGAAGCATAAACTGGTCTAATTGTTTTAAAAACATGCCTAAGCCACGACAAAGTATTCAAGGTAAATGTTTTTCGTCTTTGTTTAGTATTTTTTCACATCAGTGTAGCTACGAAATTGGCGTCGCCAATTTTAATGAAATTTACGATGCATTTTTTACTGAATACTTGGAGATTTCATCGTAGAATGGCCTAGTTATATTTATTTGCTCTTTGACTAAAATGTTTAGCTGTATTATCGCTAAACATGCCGTTTTTGAGAATTTGGTTTGCAACTAGGTTTCAACGCCATCATCCCATTGAAAACATTAGGTCACGTCAGCTAGCTTCTTATCCATGTATTTTATTATCCATGGTTTTACTAAACAGAAGGAGATTGAATTAATAGCGAGTGAAGCGAAGCAAAGAGAATATTAAGCAACTTACGAGTCTTTTAGGTGAAGAGATATTTTTTAACATATCGTACACACATAAATACATGCAGTATCTATTTCAATCTAACTTGTGTATTCTAAATTTGTGCATTCTAATAAAGTTAAGTAACATAAATGTATATAGCATCCAATCTGTACAAGGTTCTCTTAATTACAGCTAATTAGAAATGCTTAATTAGGTTCCTAATTAGACAGTTACTTAGAGAAAGGCAGGAATGTCCCGGCTGCAGGATTCGTACTAATTACTCCTATAACTTTAAGAGCTAAATTCCATGCATTACGGCGGTTTTCCACTAGGCGAAATTTTTCGACCGAATCGGAATTTCTATTGTTCAAATTCAAAGGATTTCTGTTCAGTTCCATCTGATAAGACAAAAGAAAATTTCGATTCGGTCGAAAAATTTCGCCTAGTGGAAAACCGCCTAAACGGTGACTAATTAGAACATATACATTAGATAACTAATTAGATAGCTAATTAGTGAAAGGCAGGAGAATCCCGGCTGCAGGATTCTTACTAATTGCTTCCATTACTCTAAGAGCGAGATTTGTCTCTAAGCAACTGTTTCGTTTATGAACATATCTCTTCCTTGCTTTTTGTAAATACTCCTCACTTCGCAGGCTCCTTTTGGTTTCAGCGTCAATAAACCATAAGTCGTTTAGAAATTTTTTATCCGCTAAACATTCATTTTCGTGCGAGTTGTTTCCATCAATGGAATCAGTCCTAGATTTTTTTCTTTTTGTGTGTTCTTCGTTTTTACTTGTGATTTTAAAGTTTTCTTGGTTTTCAATAGTCCTGTTTGTCTCACTTTGTTTGACGGAGTCGTTCACGTCTAAATGCTCAGCTTTATTTGTGTTTTCAACAATATTCGAGGAACTTTGTTCGTTTCCCGGAACGCCAACAGTTTCTACACTTGCACAAGTGGAAAGACCCGAATCTTCTTTTTCCGACCCCGATTGGCTTGAAATCGCCAGTAACGTTTGTTCATTCTTGTGATCTTTTGCTTTTAAAATTTTGTTTCCATTATCTAACTCTGAACCGGACGTAGAATCTTCTTTTACTTGATCAGAATACGTTTTTCTTTGGGTCATTTTTAGTTGGCTTTCAGAGTTAATACCACTTTCGTTCTTCCTGTTTTGTCCATCTTTTGGGTTTGATCTTTCGTCTAATTCTGCACTGGATTCACTTTCTGCCTTTTGTTTTGAACTTTTGTTTCGGTTCTCAAGCTCTGAACCAGACGTCGAGGCTTCCTCTACAGAGGATTTCTTTTGGGTAATCTTTCCACGTCGCCTTTCAGAGTCATTGTCACAGGATTTTCTTTGGGTAATCGTTCCACGAATTTTAAATTGTTTCTCTAAATCAATGCCTCCTCCTTTGTCATTCCCCTCTATTACTTTTCGCTCATCTTTCACATTTCCTTCTTTCAGATTGGATCTTTTCTCGGATTCTCCTTTCATCTGTTGTTTTCTTGTCAAAAACCACGAGTCTCTCTTCACAACTTTCGGCCTCTCCTTCTTGTGTTTTAAATCTTCCCCAATTCGACCGCTTCCTCCTTTCGGACCAGTCGAGAACGATCTATCGCGTCTTAAACTACCATCTAGTGAAACTCTTCCTGGAAAATCTAAGTCATTATCACTGTAAAAGTGTGCATCACTGCTATCCTTGTGCGTGGTTGAGCTAGAATCCATGCTAGTACTCGAGCATTCACCTTCATCATCACAGCTCAAATATTCCACTGAACTGCAATCATCTCTCTTCCCTGTTTTCTCAACTTCAAGTCTACTGAAAGAATCCAAGCTACATTCACTAGTGCTTCGCTTACGACCTCTTCTTCTCTCTTTTTCCAATTTGGAATTGTTAGAACTAGAGTTAGAACTGTTCATCTTCATTTTACTCCTAAATCTGTCGAAGGAAGAGTGTTGCTCGTAGGTCGTAACTTTACAATCTGTCATTGGTAAATCATTCAAGTTGCTTTCGCTGTAACTTCTCTCTTTTCTGCTAGAGTTTTCTTTCTTTCTTGGTATTAATCCCTTCATTTTTAACTTCTTCATTCGTTTCTTCCATTCCTCCTTGGAAATTGCTGGTTTCTGGTTTTTGTGTGTTGCGCCAAGTTTAGCGCTCGTTAATTCCTCTTTAGTAATTGGGTCCCTTTCGTTTAGTTCAACAACAGGATTCTCTGGTATTGTGTTTTCTTCTCTCACTCTTCTAACATTGTTGTTTGAGTCTTGTATCTCTGCGGGACGATCAACAACAATGATGTCTTGTTCGGTTCCACGCGCGGTTTGGGTAATATTTCCACATCGCCTTTCAGAGTTATTAACACAAGAAGTTTTTTGGGTAATCGTTCCACGAATTTTAAATTGTTTCTCTAAATCAATGCCTCCTCCTTTGTCATTCCCCCTTATTACTTTTCGCCCTTCTTTCACATTCTCTTCTTTCAGATTGGATCTTTTCTCGGATTCGCCTTTCATCTGTTGTTTTCTTGTCAAAACCCACGAGTCTCTCTTCACAACTTTCGGCCTCTCCTTCTTGTGTTTTAAATCTTCCCCAATTCGGCCGCTTCCTCCTTTCGGACCAGTCGAGAACGATCTATCGCGTCTTAAACTACCATCTAGTGAAACTCTTCCTGGAAAATCTAAGTCATTATCACTGTAAAAGTGTGCATCACTGCTATCCTTGTGCGTGGTTGAGCTAGAATCCATGCTAGTACTCGAGCATTCACCTTCATCATCACAGCTCAAATATTCCACTGAACTGCAATCATCTCTCTTCCCTGTTTTCTCAACTTCAAGTCTACTGAAAGAATCCAAGCTACATTCACTAGTGCTTCCTCTTCTTCTCTCTTTTTCCAATTTGGAATTGTTCGAACAAGAGTTAGAACTGTTCATCTTCATTTTACTCCTAAATCTGTCGAAGGAAGAGTGTTGCTCGTAGGTCGTAACTTTACAATCTGTCATTGGTAAATCATTCAAGTTGCTTTCGCTGTAACTTCTCTCTTTTCTGCTAGAGTTTTCTTTCTTTCTTGGTATTAATCCCTTCATTTTTAACTTCTTAATTCGTTTCTTCCATTCCTCCTTGGAAATTGCTGGTTTCTGGTTTTTGTGTATTGCGCCAAGTTTAGCGCTCGTTAATTCCTCTTTAGTAACTGGATCCTTTTCATTTAGGTCAACAACAGGATTTTCTGGTATTGTGTTTTCTTTCACTCTTCTAACATTGTTGTTTGAATCTTGCTTCTCTGCGGGACGATCAACAACAACGATGTCTTGTTCGGTTCCACGCGCGGTTTGGTTATCTGATTTTTCTTTTTGTGCACTCAGCAGCATGTTCATTATTGTAACAAAGTCCCTAGAAAATGTTAAAACTAATTTTAACTAACTTTATTTATACTAGATAGCTCTATCAGTTCTAAACTGTTCTCCCTAGAGGTCCAGTAAGGATCATCCCTTATTGATCCAGTGTTACTACAGGAGGAAACCTAAACTAAACTAAACTAAACTAAATTAACTTTATTTGTACATGATAGCTCTATCAGTTCTAAACTGTTCTTCCTAGAGGTCCAGTAAGGATCGTCCCTTATTAATCCAGTGTTACTACAGGAGGAAACCTAAACTAAACTAACTTATGTATACTAGATAGCTCTGTCATTTCCATTTTACTAACTTTATTTGTACTTGATAGCTCTATCAGTTCTAAACTGTTCTTCCTAGAGGTCCATGCAGCAAGAGTCATTGCTTATTGATCCAGTGTTACTACAGGAGAAAACCTACCTAAACTAACTTTTTTATACTGGATAGCTTTATCAGTTTCTAAACTGTTCTCCCTAGAGGTCCAGTAAGGGTTATCTCTTATTGATCCAGTGTTACTATACAGGAGGAGACTTAAACTAAACTAAACTAAACTAAGTTTATTTATACTGAATAGATCTATCAGTAAAGTCACTTTAGTTTAGGTTTCCTCCTGTAGTAACACTGGATCAATACAATATTCCAAACTTCAACATTACCTAGGATCCTGAAGCCTATGTTCGCCAACATCAACACCAATTCGTGACAGCGACTGCCTAATTTGATCCCAGTCCGCTTCAACGCCGCTGTAAATTCCGACAAATGTTTGAGATGTCGTATTCAATCCATGAGGATAGCTTGCCGTTATTCCCTCCCATTTTTCATTATTTTTAACTGCTGCTGGCTTTTCCGTTGAAGGCTCATCTTTTGCACTGTCATCCTCATTGGAAGCCACATTCATCTCGCCTTCACTAAAGTTAGTATTTTGTTGTTTGGCAACACTTTTATCATCGTTTTTGAGCAAATCGCTTTCACTATTTGTTTCTCTGTTTTCCAATTCTCTGTCGCTCAGAGAGGCTTGTCTTCTTCTCCCACTTCTCTTATGCTTAGCCGGTTCCCAAAAGTTTTTATCGATTTTTTCAAAATTTCTTTGAGGAACTCTGTGTAACGCGTTCAATCCACTATCTACACTGACAGCTCTTGTGGATGGTTTAAGAATTGATTTCGGTTGTTTTTGTGGGTGAGGCGGTGGTTGCTTCATCTTGGCGATTTTTCTTGACGTTTTCTCATCTGTGTCCTCGCTTTGTGCGAATTCTTGGTTGTAGTAATTAAACACAAGACGAACTCTGGCTTTACCAAACGTCACTTTCTTTTTCGACTTTACACTTTGGTCATCCATGATTGGATTTATTTATTTAGGAATCTTTGAGCGGTTTTTCTGAAACCATATTAAATAATAAAGATTAGTTTTAAGTTATAACCATAAAGTTCCAACTTTCCTTAGCTCTGTTAACTCTATTATTTCTAAACTGTTCTCCCTAGAGGTTCAGTAAGGATAATTTCTTATTGATCCAGTGTTACTACAGGAGGAAACCTAGACTAAACTAACTTTATTTATACTGGTTAGCTCTATCAGTTCTAAACTGTTGTCCCTAGAGGTCCAGTAAGGATCATCTCTTATTGATCCAGTGTTACTACAGGAGGAAACCTAAACTAAACTAACTTTATTTATACTGGTTAGCTCTATCAGTTCTAAACTGTTCTCCCTAGAGGTCCAGTAAGGATCATCTCTTATTGATCCAGTGTTACAATAAGGATCCACTAGGCTACGTCAAAAGTTTGTCAAACTGGAAGCTACTCTTCTCACATGCGACTGATGTGAAATGACATTAATTAATGTATTACGTATATTAACATAACCCTGGCCTGCCTTCATGTGATATTTGGTCTTGATTTCCCTCGACATAACTGCCTGAGAGAGCAGAAAACTATCACGTAATGTCTCACCATCTCTGATGCCTTGTTCTCACCAAATACTAAAGCCCGGATTAAACGATGACGAGAGTGCGCGAGTGTTGACTTGGTTAGCTGTTCATAATGCTATCCCAACACTATCATGCATTTTATTCAAGTTAGCTATAGGGACCGTTCATTATTTATTGTACAGGGGGGGGGACTGAGGAGAAACTCTACAGTTGTAATGTTTTTAATTGCCCCCCTCTTACAGTCGTGCCTCTGAACAATTCCTCAACAATTTGATAAGTTCCTTAAAAAGTTCCTAACTGCCTGTTTCATTGACCAATCAATTTTTATATTTTATTTTTGAGCAATCTGATTGGTCAATGAAACAAGAAGTTAGGAACTTTGTAAGGAACTTATCAAATTGTTGAGGAATTGTTCAGAGGAACTCCTCGAAGTTAGGAAATGAACTGGTCAACATTTTTCGGAACGCTTCTAATGGCACGACTGTAAGGCAAGAAGATTTTTCAAAGCCCCCTCCAACAGGCAAAACAAAAACATAAATTTTGGATGCCCCCCCCCCCTAGCTCTTTATTTAGAGAAACAAAAATAAATACTATGGGGACCAATTTACATGAACATAAGAGACTATTTATTTGGCTTCCATTTATGAATATTTATATTAAAGGTCTATGAACATTGTAGTTTGTTGTTTTGTGATACATTTTTAAAACTACTAACGTTTTTTCAAACTAGTAAATCTTTTCAAAGCCCCCCTTCTTTCGTCTCTCTGTATTTTTTCAAAGCCCCCCTTTCAGGTTTTAAAAAATTTAAACGCCCCCCCCAGTTTCTCCTCAATACCCCCCTGTAGAATAAATAATGAGCGGTCTTTTAAAACATAGTTGGAACACTCATCAAACTTTTACTTTGGTAAACTAGAGCTTAACCGGTTCCCCGTAACAACACGCATTGTTACGGGGGACCGGTTAAGCTCTCATCACAGTCTCGTACACGAATGACGGGCTACATATAATTACCTCACAAAATCATTTTGACCAGTCAAAAATGTTCAGAGCAGGCTATAAGTAACAAGGACCATTTGAAAGCGTTTGATCCAAGCACGTGCTTAAACAGACCCCATTTGGGAATGTTCCGCTATCAGTATTACATATAATTCCACAAATGTCAAAAGCGTTTAGACAAGACCTTTTGTAACTTGTAATAGTCGAAAGCTTAAAAGACCATTTGAAATTTAAAAGCAATGACAATATTTAAACCTACCTTTATAATATAAGTTTACCAATCGGTCAATCTTCTGTTATCCCGTCTAAGCTGTCGGATTAAAATTATGGAAACGTTGTGAACAATCCGCAAACTGACGACAAAAAGGTTTAAACTTATACTAAACTCTAGCCAAACATTGACTTGAGTGACTATGCTTTCCGTGCATAGCGCTTCTAGATTGAATATTTACATTTTGCATGTACGTATATAAAATTTTGGCAAGTATTCTATGGATGAATTTTGAAATGTCAAAAGTCATTAGTTTCAGTTGGTTGAAAACCGCACAAAAGGAGCAAAGTCTTAATTTGATTAATATGAGCAATTAATGCTAATTATTGTCGCTCTAGATTGTTCGAAGGCATGCTCAGATGGGATGGTTTATTGAGATAAGATTAAGAAACTTAATTATTAGTCACGGATCCGGTCAGCATATTTCAGAGTCTTCTTTGTGAATAAAATTATGTTTTTTGGTCCAGCAGGGTTCATCTCTTTATGATCCAGTGTTACTACAGAAGGAAACCTCAACTAAACTAACTTTATTTATACTGGATAGCTCTATCAGTTCTAAACTGTTCTCTGCACTATATAGGAGTAGACGTCCAATAAGGAACACCTCTTATTGATCCAGTGTTACTACAGGAGGAAACCTAAACTAAACTAACTTTATTTATACTGGATAGCTCTATCAGTTCCAAACAGTTCTCCCTAGAGGTCCAGAAAGGATCATGATCATCTCTTATTGATCCAGTGTTACTACAGGAGGAAACTCAACTAAACTAACTTTAATTATACTGGATAGCTCTATCAGTTCTAAATTGTTCTCCCTATAGAGATCCAGTAAGGATCATCTCTTATATTTATTATCAAACCCAATTCACAGACGGGATAGAGAATCATGCACTAATGCACCAGCAACCCTTGGCTTACTGCCGGAAAGTCTTTTGTACTTTGAATCCCAGGGGAACGGTTACGCTATGATTTAAAATTCAGACGTTTTGAGACTGCATTTTACTGCATGCGTGATTTTAATATTCAAATTTGTTTCAGTGAACAAAGTCGACAAAAGATGGCTGGCTGTTCGCTGGTTGACAAACACATATGAAATATCTTCTTGTCCAAAACCTTGATGCAGTATGTTAGAATGGGCCAAGCTAGCAATAATTTGGTGAAAAAGCAAGATACACGTTTTATCATAAACCAGAAGGTATATTTATATACATATCTTTTGAATTATTTAATTTGTGTTCATACAATAAATACGTAGAACAGACCCTTCCAAGGTGTTTTCCGCCATCTTGAATATATTGTTTTCACCATTGTGTTTGCAGCCCTTGCAAACGTAGGGGCCGATTACATGGAGAACTTTCAACCCCGTTTGAACTCAGCCCTGTTAACCGGGCTGAAATTTTTTGCGATTACATGGACGATTTCAACCCCGGGGTTGAAACGCTATACTATACGTTCTCGGCATCGATTCCCGGAAGTAAAAAAGCCTTTATTTTGTTTTCTTGTAATAAATAGTCACTACCACGTATGCTCGAATAACTCATGATAATTTCAGCCCTGGGTTGAAACGATTACATGACAAAATTTTCAACCCAGGGATGAGTTCAACCCCGGGGTTGAACTCAGCCCTGGGTTGAAAATTTTGTCATGTAATCGCGCGTTTGATTTTGATAGAGTTTTGTATTACAGACAGGGCTGAAATTTCAACCCGGTAAACAGGGCTGAGTTCAACCCCGGGCTTGAAAATGCTCCATGTAATCGGCCCCTTACCTACATGTATAGTGAATTCTATTGTTCTTGCTTTGCACCCCCTTCCACTTTGTGTTTCATTATGGCGGAAAACACCTTGGAAGGGTCTATTATAGCTGGGTTTCACAAAGCTATAAAATTCTTGGCTACAAAATTTTTGTAGTTCGCTATAACTACAGCTACTTCAAAAATATGTAGTCCGCTACAACTACTGCTACTTTTGAACAAAGCCGGGTAGTTCGTTACTGACTACAGCTATACTGCTTAAAAAATGTAGCGAACTATTTCGCTATATTTTTTAGTTTTACTGTATTTGGAGCATCTACTAACTCAGGCTGAAATGTAACCTGGAACAAATCGACTTACGAGTAGCAACAGTAAACGCAAAGCAACATTTTTGTAAGCACTACAGTGTTCAAGAGTGCAAATTGACTATTGAGTATTGATTTTAAGCAAACCGTGTCTCAATATCATGCTATGCTATCAAGTTGCTGACAATTTTAAAAAGTAGCGAATAGCGATTCTCTGTTTGAAAAGTAGTCAACTACTTGGCTACTTTTAGGCAAAATGTAGTTCGCTATCACTACAGCTACTGTTTTAAAAAAGTAGTCAAAAACTATTGGCTACTTGAAAATTGTAGTTCGCTACAGTATAGCGAACTACAACTACTTCGCTACTACCCACCCTTGAAATTTTATGTGGGTAGTCTTGTATTTAATGAAAACTAAATAGAATTGCGAGATGTAGTTCAATTTTCTTGTTCTTATGGAATACAAGTGTCGATATCTCTGAGTGAAGTTGACCATCATTTTCTGAACGCTTATTTATTAAAGCCTGCCATCAATGCACATAAACTCTTCAGCTTACAGTAACCTTCAGTATTTAGTTATTTTAGCCGTTTAATCTAATCCCTTTTCAAGCCCAGTGATAATATCAGCCGTTTCAAATTTAAATAAATTCAAAATATTTGAAACTTGTTTAACCAACTATAATTGTACTGACCTCGAATATTTAACTGGATCGAACGTAATATTGAATTAATTCCACCCAATTCACTCACATATATAATTTACATTATCAGAACGGTAACTAGGCATGTGAGTTATCAATTCACTCACATACATATAATATAATTTAAATGTTTGGTTACCTTTGTTTCATTCTATGCTCAAATCATCAGAACAGTGGTAATTACAATCCTGGTCAAAACCACCAGCGACACTCTATTAAAAGTTAAAGCATTCCTCTGTGGCTGTTTTTTACTGATAGACCGGAATAATTTACTCGTCCCCCCCCCCCCCCCCAACAATGTTGTACGTATTACAATTGCTTTAACCGTATTCTGGGAATGCAATCAACAATGAATGGTGGGGGAGATTTTTTAAATCCGCGATAATATTACGAAAGTTGGTCAGATATTGCAAGTGTCGCAGATGTTTTGTCCAGGATTGGCATGTGAGTTGAAAATGTGAATTGGGTGATAAACATGTTGATTAAGTCTATTTCAAAAAAAACATTCAATTCACGAGATAACACATCTGTTTCCAGTGCACTGACATTTAGTTTTTCCTTCCGCCAAATCCTCCATGCTGACGCCATATGCTGGCAAATTGTTCGTAGTCGCTGCCGTATTTTTAGACTTTTTCTTACTACGCTTCGACTTTTTACGAGGTTTTTCGCCGTCCATATTTTTATCCACCGCGGGCGTTTGGTGTGGAGTGGTCGCTTTTTGACTCCTAAATTCGTTCATATCATCCGATAAATTAATTTCATCAAAATCACTAAGTCTGTATTCCTTTCGTTCCTTGGGTTCAAGTCGTTTGCCGTTTTCTTTTTCCATTCGTCCTGCAGCGCTTTCTGACCGCTTCAGTCCAGGTTCTTTAGTCAAATTTTGCCGTGAGCTCGGGAGCGAGCGGTTATTCGAGCACAAACTTAACAAGGACCCACGCGAGTTTTTCCCACTCGTGTTCATCCAACTCGAGGTGTACACGTACACAGGTCGCTCGCCGTCGCTTAGCAACTGCTCCTTGCTCGCGTCCCTCGACCCAGGCAAACTACGCGAGCTTAAAGTCCGTCTCGCCAAAGCATTACTGCTCAACTTTGGACTGGCTTTCAGTTTCGCTAAAGTTTCGTTCAACAGTTCTGTTGTCTGGTCTTGTGATATCGTTGAATTGTCTGTAATTCTGTCCCAGATTGTAGGCGAGGATGCTTTTCGACCAGCGTTCTCTGAAGTCGGCGAAACTTGATTTGATGATGAGTCTTTCCCGCCAAGGTTCCCAACCTTGTTCCCAGGGTTCTTCGAGTATTTTCCCGTGCTTTCTACCAATTCATTTCCAGTCTTCTTGGAACCGACAGCGTGTTTTCCCGCGTTTTCCTCCGGCTCTTTCCGACTTCGACTCTCGGCTTCCTTCATAATCAAACTCTGAATAACCTTCAATTTATCTAATGCTTCATTTGTGTTCATAAGTTTCAAACTCGGTCTCCTATTGTCTCCGAGATCCCCAGACGTCCCCCCAGGCTCCTCCTCCTCGTCCGAGAAATTTGGCGGGCTTAACTCAGTCCCAGTGTCATCCCACTCTAAAGACAACGCAGTTTTTATGTCTTCGGTCGTTTTTGTATTTTGGGCGAATTTCTTGTCGCGGGATAAGGCTAAAAGCGGGCTATGAGTGCCTTTTGGACCTGGTAAAGTCTTATTCTCGACTTGGCGGGATGCATTTACTGCATTTTTCGGGGTTTTCAAGTTTTCTGAGCGGCTTGAGCCATTCCTTGGTGTGTCACCTAATCTTTCAGCGTTATTTAGTACCGAGGATAAACTGAGAATCTTCGCTGTTGGTTCAGACTTTTGTTGCAAAGTCTCAAGATTTAATTGCTGGTTATTGGTGTTTGGCGTTGACGTCATTGCAAGCTCTGGTTGTTCACGTGGCATGTCCATGTCGTCCTTCTGTTTAGCATGATGTTTGCACATGATCAGACTCTTCCTCGGGCTGATGAAGGTCGGATATTGTCTAAACCCTGGATCGTCTTTGGGAATGTCTTCACCGTCTAACATGCTTTGTTCCATTCTGCATTGCATACAGTTGTCGGACCTTCTAGGGGGGTCCTCCTTTTTCTCAACCCCCTCCTCTTGAAGCTGCCCCACCTCTTCGCTCTTGTCTACATCTGGCTCCCCCACACCTCCAGTCTTCTCCACCAAACCTCCCACCAAAGAAACCTCTTGTGTTGTAGAAGGGTCCACCTTGTCCACCACCCCCACCTCCCTGACTTGTCCCACATCTTGAGGTAGCCCAACACCGTTTGACATCCCAAAGTCTCTCGCGTGCCTTGTATCTCTTGGCTTCTCAACCGCATTTCCCCCCGAGATAACATCTTTGTTCAAATTTCCTTCGTTACTTGACCAAACTTGCCGCATGTCAGACAACTCTTGCTTGTTTTCAGACTCATTTTGGGCCAAAAGTTTCGACAAACGTGGCGGTTTTCGTGGTGACTGCTTTTTTCTTGCTACAGTTTCCTGCTCTTTTTCTGATTTGCTTGCTACCCTCTCTGAACTTACTGAAGCTTGCTTTTCAACGTCATTTCTCGTTTTTATGTCCTGCACACCATTTTTACTCTCAGCTTCATTGTCAATACTTGCTACAGTTTCTATAGATTGCTTTCGAATCGTACTATCCACTTGCTTTTTGTTAAAGATTCCCTCCAGTTTAATACCAACATTATTATTTTCTCTATTTTCGCCTTTGTTTTTTTCATCGTTCAATATTTTTTTGTGATCACCACAAGAAACATTTCTTTGCATAACCAAACCATCAATATTCCTGCAAGACCCGCCATCTTGAATTCCAGGCTTTTGTATACAAGCACTACCGCCAGTGTCCAAAACATCTCGTATCTGCTTACCATTGTCTGTCTCTAATTCAACTTCCTTATTTGCTAAACCACGTGACTCAGTTTGTGACGTCACAACATCCTTGCTCGTTCTCAGTCCATCTACAAGGTTCTCTTTGCTCGATGTTTTACAGTTGTCACTTTTAGTCTTGTTAGCAACATTTTCAACTTTCTTCTCCGAGATATTGGATCTTTGACTCGTTTCATTTTTACGAACCCACACTTTGTCAGTTTCTGAACAAACTTTGTTGCCTTCATATGTCCTGGCTGCCATTTTTATCTCTTTTTCATTGTTATTTCGCGTCTCGTTTTCTAATTTTCCCCTTGCACCATCTAACAACCCATTCGCATCGGCTACTGTACTTTCGGCTTTCTTCGTATCTGCCATCGGCTTCTTTTCGTCACAAGTCGAACCGTCTCGGCTTGACTTCGCTGCACCTCGACTCTTCGAAGACATTCTGGGAATTTTCGACTTCGAGTTTTCGCGGGAAAATATAAATTCGTTTCCAGGCTCTGGCGCGTCTTCTTTACTGCTGACCGAATCTGTATCACCGTAACCTGAATCACTTCGTTGTAGCGTACTTGAAGTATTCGTCTCTTCCGCTGGTCCGGTAGACGTTTCTCTGCGGTAGCTCGGAACATTAATTTTGTTAACTGTCAAGGAAGTTGTTTTGTTTTTCGTTATTTGGCTTGTTTTAGCTGCTTTTGTTTCGACTTCTGTCTTAGAAATGTTTCTCGTTTTCTGCTGAGAAGTTTTTGCAACGTTACTTCTCGGTATGCTGGATTTTCGCGGGAGTTTAGATTTAGCGACGTCATTTTTGCCAACTCGTAACTCATCCCCAGTTCCTTCGCGTTTCAACGTAGATTCCCCACCTTGCATTGCGTTTTCGTTCTCTTTGTCAATATTTTGGTTTTGTTCTGCAGTTCTATTCGCTAAATTTCCCCGAGGGTCACCCCCACCTTGTTTTGCAAAGGGTATTCTTGAACTCCCAGAATACTGTTGGGCCTTACTACCGCCTTTTACGGGAATACCGCTGAGCGCACTTTCTTTAGATATCACTGGCTCAGATGGTTCTTTCAATTCACTTGAGGTTTTCTTACTTGAAGTATTCACAGGAATACCACTGGTTTTGGAATCTGCAGGCGCAGTTCGTTTGTTACTAGTAGTCTCTTTACCAGACCTCTCACGGTTAGCCACGTTAGAATTGACATCAGCACGTTTCAGGGGGATGCGCGAGGATTGAGGAATTTGAGGTCCCGGCCCCCGGGATCCACCTTTTCTTGGAATTTTGGACGTTTCCCCTACACTAGATCTGCGTGGTTGAGTACTCAAATCGGATGTTGAATTTGATTCACGTTGACTGTTTGTGGATCCACGCGAGTCGCGAGCTTGTCCACGCGTGACACAACTACCAGTCCCGCGTGTAAAACTATTTGCTCGTTTCATCACGGTGGGTTTCGAGGCGGACACGGGTAAACGCGAGCTCGTACTTCGTGCTATAGGCTTGCGTGCTTTGGAAAACGATCCCGAGTTTGTCCTAGTCCTTTCACGATGCTCGGCCTCGCCGCCACACTCGCTGAGGTCAGAGATCGAAGAATACTCGTCGGAATCCAGTTTGCTTTCGGGAACAGCCGTAAACGATCGTCGTAGACTTTCTCGGCTTAGGGATCGGCGTTTTTCGGTAGTGTCGGGTGTGGTTGGACGGGTTGTAGCGTTGGGTGGTATGAACATATATTCAATGGCTCCAGGGGATCCTCCAAAAATAGCGGATGTATTAGGCCGGGTCGGATATACCGGGACTGGAGTGCCGGTGATAGGATTATACCTCTCACTACTAGAAATGAAAAGATAATTGCATGTTAAATTTTCGCTTCATTACTTCCGCCACGCATTTTGATGACGAATGATTGCGAATCATGGGCGTGGCGGCGGTTTAAGCTTTTTTGGCTGAGTCATCTTTCTGTATGTCTCTAGTCTAGAGAACCCCAAATTAAAAACTTCTAAATGTAGTTGAATTACAGAATTCTGGAGTCATAGGCCAACTCCATAAATCATGTCAGTGGCGTAGCCAGCCCGACGATTCAGTCCCGCTCTGCAAATAATCAGATAATGAGTATCAGATAATGATAATCAGATAATGAGTTGAAATTTGCATAGCGGGACCAAATAGCTACGCCACTGAATTCATGTGAATGCATTAGAGCGAGCTATTGACACAGAATAGAGACTACATAGAAGACCAACTTCTTGGGTTTTCCCTGGTTTTTCCTATGATTTTGAGACTGTGAGAGGCATTCTCCCCCTGATAATATTCAAAAGGGCGCACTGGCTAGGACCATGGCGTCAGCATTTTGATGACGAATCATGGCGTTGGCAGCGGTTACGGTGATCGCTAGATAGTATACTTCAAAATAAGATTTCCATTTTTATAACGTAGAAAAAAACAATCCTAACGCAAAACTAAACCATAACCCTAATACTAACCCTAACCCCAACCTAACCCTAACCTAAACCCTAACCTAACCCTAACTTATTTTAATGATTTTAAAAATTGATATAAAAACGGAAACGTATACTATCTAGCAATCAGGGCGCTTATATATCATATAGATATATAAGCGCCCTGCTAGCAATTGCCCAGCGGTTACGCTTTTTTTTTGCTGAGTCGACCTTCTGTGTGTCCTTATTCTGTGACCTGGAGCTGCTGGCTGACAGCTTCAACAATATTGGCAACCTCCGCAAAAATATAATCTACAGCCGTGTGTTAGACAGTTTCTTTGTATTCAAATTCTGTGTATACAAAACGTCAAGACAACAAGAGGCGGTTAACAAGAGGTCATGCATATATTGGCCATAAGATGTCAGACAGGCAGAACAATGCTTGCACGTGCAGCTAAATTGCCTCCTATAGCGACATATGAAAACACTCTTTGTGCAGTTTGCATTATTTGAGTGTCGAATTATAAAAAAATACATAATTAAACATATTAATATCATTTTAATTTCCTACTGACTTGGCGTATTGACAATCGTACAAAACATTGGCATAGCTGGAACTTTAAAAATTTGATGACAAGTCGTTTGGGGTACATTTCCGTTCAGTTCATAAGGTAATGCAGTTGTACCCCTATAAATGGATACCTCTCTTAAGCGGGCATCCTTTTAAAGGGACCACAAGCCTCAGGTCCCGAAGTTAATAAAACACTGTCATTACAACCTCTATTAAGCAAGAGATCCTGAAGGTGTCCGTTTAATAGAGGTTCAACTGTGTTTAATCATTATTCTTCTACTTGAAATGCACTACAACTTAGTATAAGGACTTGCCAGAAACGTTGCATGCAGTATTTCCATTCTATAACAAGCGTAAGTTGAAAGTTTGCACTATTCTTGGGATCTCTGCATTATAAGTAATTTGTTGTTGTAAATTGAGTAATATTTTTCGTAGTCATTCCGCATAAGAAATACAAAGGATATATAAACTCCTGTCTCACAAAGTTGTACTTCATAATTATATAGTGTAGCGCATAAGACAAAAGGCCTAAAGAACCTTTTTATACATGTAGCTAAATATTCGAGCGTGTTTTTAACATATTCAATTCTCCAAAACACTAGTCAGTTTATGTACAATAACGCTACGTAGTTACTTAACCACATACCTGTTTAGAAGAACAGCAAAATATAAACAAATTTAAGTATTGCACTATGTTGTATTTATCAGCTTATTTCGATATTCGAGCGTCGTCCTGCTCAGTATGTGACGCGTCTATGTACCTGCGTCTGTATATAGCTTGTGCTTCACAATCACAGGTTTAGCCCCCTGTTGGATTTTGTACCAAACAGACACTTTTTAACTTCGTGATGTTGTTGTTCGATACTTGTTCAAATCAAACAACTGAAATCCAATGAACCAATGATCAGTGGTAAATTAATTACCAACACTGGGATTGGTTGAAAATATAGCCAATCAGAGAAGCTTTTATAGATTTACTGAATGCGAACAATCTTTGGAACATTCTGAATTCTGATTGGTTTTCTATGCATGACTCAGGCGAGTATGCATTTGTGGAAGTATGTCTATACCTGTCACGTTTTAGGAAGGGGTACTATTAAAGACTTTTGTAATTTTGTATTCTTTTGTATTTTAAAATAACCCTAATCCTAACCCTAATCTTAACCCTAACCCTTTCCCTAATCCAAATCCTATAATCCTAAATGTTTAAAAATAATAACTGTTCCTAAATATCTGGGATATAAGTAGCCTAATAATATAAGTGGCCATAGATATCTTATATACACTAGGTAGTGCATCTAATTATTCTGCAATTCAAAAATTGAAGCCGTGATTGCAGACTCAGGATATTCCCATGAAATGAGAAGACTCGTACGTTTTCTATTTCTTAAACAGGGAACTTAAACATTAAGTTAAACCTATTCCAAATACATTTTCAAACTATTCAAATGATGAAAGTTATTGTTGTTTTTTAACTCGTTTATTAGCGAGTGGGAACTACCAACATGGCCGCCATCTATTCAAATGGGGGTAACCGCTGGAATATTCTTGGCTTCAATTTTACTAAAAGAGATGCGCTATCTAGTTTATATAAGATATCTATGCTCATGACGTTTGTGGAAGTATGTCTAAGGGTTTTGTATGGATGGAAAGTTCGAGTAATTATATTGATAACGTATAAACAGTTTTACACCGCTAGAAATTTCCATCTACGGTACAAACCCTTCAACATTCGAGTTGAATCGAGTGAGTTGCCCAAAACAATCCTGATATTTGTTGTAAGTATATATATAACCAATCAAGATATTGGTGTGGAAATTCTGCGAAAGTCCTTTTTGTTCGTGTTTATGTAAACTTGTGCACGCGGTGAAGACAATGGAATTTCTGGCATAATGAAGTAATCATTCAATGGCTTTTATCTTGTTCAATCACTGGGGGTAACCAAGCTGTTGAAATAGGAAATGTTCAAAAGATTTTTACACAGTGAAGCCGTCTAGGTCGTAGACTTTTTAATTTAATCAATGTTTATAGACACAATTAATTTTACAGATCGGCACAGCATACAAAGAAAATATAACTGCATAAATAATATTATTGATGGCAAGGAGACATCCAGAAACTGCAGTCATGCATATAAAGCGGATGTCTCCTTGGCGCTTATTCAAAGCAAAACAAACAATTAAGAAAAACAACGAAAGCATGACTATTCATTTACTAAATATTTCTTCATTCCATTCCCGAAGCAACTGAAAGTCTCTGCCTGTTTTATACTTTCTGGAAACGAATACCGCAGTTTAGGGCCAGGTTTAGGACCTTGATGTGTGCCAAGTCAGGTGGAATTTGCAAAACAATGAATCAGTAAAAATCATATAGTTTCTTCTTTGAAATTGATATATAGGGTGTCAATCAACTATATATGCATACTCTTTCAACATGTGGACATATCCACCAATGCTTACCGACAAACTTTCACTTTTTTCCTGGTCTGAAATATATTATAGAGACGCGATTTCCTTAACTTTTTAATAAACATGCACTATATATAGAATATTATATACACGAGTGTATTGTGGTTTAGAAAATGCTAGAGAGTACGTGCTCGATATCATATTAGATAGAGCTAGTATAGTTCACATCAAAGATGGCCGGCCCACCACAGCCTGTTTCATCGGAAGGGAACTATACAGCCAGGCTATACCACAGCCTATTTCATCCAACTGACTATCCCCTTTGAACGAAACAGGTCGCAATGGCCACCCTTAAGGTGAGCATGATACGATATACACATATTTTTGTGTCCCACCCAGCGAATCTTCTGACAAAGGAAAGCCTCCGATGAAGTGTCGGAAATGTCCCTAATCTTTTGCGGGTACTTCTGACAGCAGCTTATGCATAGAATACGTATATATCTATCGTAGGATGGGGCCTTTGCAAATATCTATAATACACACAACATCTATATTGTTTCCTGAGGAAAGATTAGAAATGATTTTGAATGCACAGCAGATGTCTTTTTAATCATTAAAAGCGCGTTATACAACCTGACAACACACGCCTTTAAGAGATACGCCGTTATATCCTTATCGGAAATTACAAAAATATTCTATCTACGCTGTAAAGACACATCCTAGCGATATGTGATGTAGCAACTCACTAAAAACGCGCATTTTTAGTTATATTTGCTCTTCTGCGTAACGCAACAGTGTCAAGCCCTAATTGCATGTGAACAGCATTTCGTTAATTTGCACATAAATTCGTAAAATCTACAATTCAGCCAAAAACCTACACTATTTTTTACAAGAAATAAACTTTAACTTACATTTTTGTACTTCTGCAGTTCCCCTTTGCGCGTTTCTGTGAAATTGGTAGCGTTTTAAATTGTCAGTATACAGGCACAACCGTTTAAGTGTAGTCGACAAAATAGAAACTCAGTATATGCTAATATTTTTGCATCTCATTACAGCAACGGTAAATAATTCAATGAGAATCTGATATCGATTGTTCTTTAGCTGACAATATGAATTTAAATTATGAACAGTTGTTCTCAAACAAATACAATAAAACAAAACAAGAACAAAACCAAAAACGGACTCCGCCACTTTTGGGAACCGAAGTAAACCCTTTACAAAATTTGAAGAAATATATGTTACATTTAACTAGGGTGTAAAACGAAAAATCTGACAAGTTTGTCGGCTGTAACTATACTGCATGTGTTGGCATTAAATATTAATGATCGAAAATTGAACTTTATTTATTCATGAGTTAATAATGAGGTCTGGTGAAAAGCGCGGCGAGTAGACATAAGTTTGCGTTTGTAATACAAAGCAAACGCTGTGTTTCCGCTGTGGATTTTCAAAGTCTGGTTGAGACGCCAAGTCAGGTTTATCGCAAATCTAATACGATAGTTATTGATTGTTTTCACTTTCGCTAAATAGACCTACTGACTTAATATTGCTATTTTAACCGAAGGATTTATTGTTAAATCTGTATATTTGCCTGGTTGTATAACTCAAGCATATCATGTAGTTTCTATAAACGACTTAATAATCTATTGGTTTTAGAAATTTTCGAAAAAGAATTACAAAGTTTAACTTAATTGTATCGAGATTATACAATGAGAAGCTATAGATGGTTTTCAGTCAGCGTTTCTGGGTAACAGATGCTGACACTTGGAACAAGGGAATGAAACTACACCTCTCAATTCTATATTTTATTTCCCTCCAAATACAAGACTACAACATGGAATGAAAAGAATCATAGTGAACATTATTTTCTCACTCTGATAACTGCGGGTTGGCCACCAACCGCTGCACGATAGTGCTTAGTGCATGATACCTATATTGATTGGTGGTGTTTTGAGCCAGCTTATATTCAGGTCAAAGTCTACATGATGTATTTGGATATTGGACATTCGCTCCAGAGCGTTTGAGTACAAATTTGAAGTTGCTATTAATATCAAAAGATCACATGCTGAGCTGGTTGCTATAGCTAATTGACAGTGTTGCGATGCTGACGGTGTTGTGAAACTCTGATCGTATAATTGGTCTCAATCTCTGACACATGTTGTCAAACTTTTTGCGCAATATATTTTGAATGTTGTGCGAACATAGGGCATAATAATAGCAAACTTTCTAATCTCTCTAAGCCAGTTAAGACTGACGATCACGTTATATTCAAATCAGTAAAAAAGAAAAAATGAATCTTTTTTATGTATCACTATCAGTCATTGTGAAAATGGGAGGAACTATCCGCTTCTGTATATATAGATCATGCAGTAATAGCCTTGAAACTTTTAGCCTTTCTTGGACTCAAACTAAAAGTCTGTATAGCGAGTCTGTATATTTAAATGAACGAATAACAATTCTAGACCATTCTATATAAGAAATGCCATAATTGTATAAATATTCTAAATCATCTATCGAAATGCGTTGCTGTATACATAAAATATAACGAAGTCATCAAACTTATTGAGTTATTTAGTCAGCATATTTATGTATAGTGATGTAGTGAGCCATGCTTGAAATCTACGATGCAGAGAGCAATGCAGTCAAATGAAGATATCCAGCAATGATATTATTATAAGAACAGTATATAAAAATATTGATTAATTATTTAAATTTAGTTGCTGTTTGTGCATTTTAAAAATCGTATACCCTAGGCTAACGGCGGAGTAGACAATATTTCACAGAAAGGATCTATCATTTCTTGAACTTTCTTTCAGAAAAGAGAGCCCAATAGGCAATACAATCAGTCAGTCAGTCACAAGTTTTGATATGTGTACTGTGCAATACAGCGTCTGATTGATGTCAATGCCCAATATAGGCTATATAGCTATTCAATTGAGTACTCGCGCTGACAGCTTTAGCAACATGAATGAAATTGACAGATTAAAGTTGGATCGATCTCTTATCACAGCTCGTTAAGGTTTCGCGTTTACAAAGACGTGGATGTATTCGGAACAGTATACTCAAACAGTACTCTTGAATTCTCACCGGGACCCATGAAACCAGACGAATTCAAGCACAACTCACTGTACGACTAAAACCGGACGAATTGGCGTATGCCGTCCCAAATTCGTCTTAGATCACCGGGAAAAAAACTTTCGAGTAAATTTCAGTAAGTTGTAAGTTTGAAACCGATTCTCGTTCAAGCGTAACCGCGGCTGACAAAAGCAATTTAAAAATTCACACGCACTATTTTTACTCCATAGAAACACTGTCAAATAATTCACTTATACCTTATACGACCGCTTAGCTCCATCTTTGGATGAAGAAGATCTTCAAAATCCTTTTGTTTTTGACTATTTAGATCACACAAACTCCTTTGCTAGCTGTTCCTGGCAGCTTGAATCACCACGGCGTCCAGTCAGGTTATTTTGACAAGTTTTTCATTATGAATTACAATGAAACTAGGCCAGTCATGTTTGGTCTTTGTATTAAGGCTGTCCATTCATAACACCTGAGCGGCCGCTTGCTTTGCAGAGAAATTTGCATAACACTTTGTTGAGGTATAATATGCCATGATTAGAAAGAAAAACTTTGGAGTGGTTAACCACAGCGCTGTGCTCTAAGGCATAATGATCGACAGAGGGTAACAGTTGATGAGAGTTGAAACTGTACATAACTGATAAACTGGTCTTCTCGTTTACACTATCAAAGTTTCTGTGATGACAGTAGGAATTTTGCATAGGTAAATTCTATAAGTTTTGAAGGATTTTGTAAGAACTGTTTGAGGGAATTGACTCAGTGTTAAACCGACCAAGTCAGTTCCGTTCTTGTAAATCCTTCAAAACTTAGAATTTACCGATGGTAAATTCCTATACTGTTGACACTTAGTGCTCAAAATTTGCATGATTTTAAAACTGTTAAGCCATTGATAGAACTAACAGTTAAAGTGCCTATATCATGGTTTTGGAGTTTGCATATCTCGAACTGGTTTAGGGTATTTTAAGACACTTTGCAATATGTTTTGTTATTGAAAAATTTCATCTTGATGGATTTATTAGCTCTTAAAGTTACCGGACATGACGTCAAAAGGAGAATTTTGTTGCAATGATACAAAGGAAAACTGATTTGCAATTCTCCTTTTGACGTCATGTCCGGTAACTTTAAGAGCTAATAAATCCATCAAGATGAAATTTTTCAATAACAAAATATATTGCAAAGTGTCTTAAAATACCCTAAACCAGTTCGAGATATGCAAACTCCAAAACCATGATATAGGCACTTTAACTAACGGCATGCCCAGTCGTAGATTTATGAACAACAAGCGTGATCTCGTGGTCACAACGCTTCCTCAAGCTTGGAGACCTGGGTTGAATCCTTGGTCGGAACCCTACTCAAGGTTTTAAAATAATTACGGAGAAAGAGCTACCTTTACATTAATTGACATCAGTAAATGGTTAGACTTTCGCGTCTTCTCGGATAAGGGACCGGTCATTATTTATGGTGGGGGGTGGCACCGAAGAGAAATGTTTTTCGTTGCAAAAATTTTGCTTACCCAACCATTAAAAAATCAAAAATTTGATTACCCAACCTCAAGTATCATTTAAAAAATAAATACCCACCCCTGGCCAAAAACGTTACAAAACGATGTCATTCAGTTGTCACACATGACAGTCTCCCTCGCAGACGTTCTTACTAGTCCTTTACCACTTCTGTGATACGTTTGATAACGTTCGGCTTGTGAATGTTTGATAGTTTGATAACGTTCTGCTTGTGAAATTTACTGACTTTTCTGCAGTCTAAAGCTTCATGTTGTCTGCACATTTAGTTTCTTTGGAGACACCATTTGTCTCCCAACAAATCGGAAAATGATGAAGATATAGATTGATTCACATATTGTATTGACATATGACTGTTGACTTTGAAGTTTTCAGTCTTCAATATTTAAGTGAGTCATGCTTTGGAATTGACAATATATTTTTATTACCCAACCTTTGAGTTGTTTCGTTTTTGATTTACCCAACCTTTTACTCACTCAAAATTTTGTTTACCCAACCCTTTTCTCTTCGGTGCCACCCCCCGCCATAAATAATGACCGCTCCCTAAGGACGTTAAAGGACCCACAGTCTACACCGTCAAGGAAGTTTGCACACGCTGGTCCCCAATTCCTACGATCAAGGGACTGTATCTATCGGTTATATATTTTCTTTATTATAATTGCGTTACAACATTTCAACAATTCTCTAAATACATCAATTCAATCTCGATTCAATGTCAAACTTCTCACTTCGAACTCCGAACTCATGCACTCTTACATTTTACAACTCTATTTATAATATTAGCTAAGGTCTCTGAGCCAAAGCATTGACGCGCGCATTCCTGAGGTTTCCGCGATTTTACATTTCATATCCGAAATTAAAAGAAAAATCATTTCTGGATCTTGAAAAAAAATTCCTTTATCAATGCATGTTCTCAAAGAAAGATATGCAAAGAAATGGGGAAAAGACATTTATGGATCAGAATTATGCACGCTTGTAGTTTCATTTTGCTCAAAACACAATATTTTTTCAAAAATAATTACAAGATAGGTTTACTAAAGCAAAATCCTCGCTAAAAACGTCAATAAATATCGGGCTGTTGTGATTTTGCTGTTACTCGTAATGAGCGTCAAGATGACGCCAAATTGGAGTAAAGGTGGTATATTGTGATTGTCATATCTTCTTAACGAGTTCGGTGACCCCAACTTTTTTGGGTGATTTTACTTTAAGTATATCATAAACTCCATGCCTGGGAAGTTTCAGCACATTCTCATTTCGGGAACAATTACTGTGGAATTTCCTTAAATCGTAGGTACCTCGGATGCCCTATTATAATTGTGCAATAGCCTGTTAGGAAATCCGCTTACTGATGAGTGAGAAACTCGATAAACAAGTTTGTTCGCAACAAACAACACTTACCTCAGTTTTCTCACAACGTTTTCCAACTTCTAGGACGGTCTACACTATGCATCAAAAGTATTGTTTCGCTTATTCATACAATGTAGATATAGTTTAACCTTGAGAATATAGCGACTGAAGAGCTCGATTTGATATAAGGAAAGTTATTCCATAAAATCTTTGAGATGATTTTAAGAGTCGGTGAGAGGAATTTGTCTGTTCGTTGAGTGTTGCGGAATTTTGGAAGAATTCACTGAAATCTAGTAATTAACCGCAGCACAATTCTCTATATTAAGGCATATATTGCACAGGAATTAGCTACAGTTGACGCAAGTTGTGAACAGTATTTGCACTATTTTAGACCAATTCTATTTTATCAACATTTTATACATATTTATAAACAATATCGAAAGAATAGAAAACTAACTGAGGGGCTAACAGGACTTGAAATAACAGCCGATATGCACCAATCAATGATCGGCAAGAAATTGAAGAAAAACAGGGTTTTTAACACCAGGAACAGCAGGAAAGTCATGATTGCCGATTATTATATGATCGGGAACTTTGTGAACCTTACAGTTCAAGCCCTGGATAGCTTATGGTTGTCTTTAGGAATGCGAATATTAACCTTGAATGCGCTTTAGCGACTTCAGTCCGGAATATAGTCCAGAATGAAATTTGACGGAAAATGGAAAAATTTGTTTGCAACAAACAAAGTTTGTTCGCAACAAACAACACTTACCTCAGTTATCTCACAACGTTTTCCAACTTTTAGGACGGTCTACACTATGCATCAAAAGTATTGTTTCGCTTATTCATACAATGTAGATATAGTTTAACCTTGAGAATATAGCGACTGAAGAGCTCGATTTGATATAAGGAAAGTTATTCCATAAAATCTTTGAGATGATTTTAAGAGTCGGTGAGAGGAATTTGTCTGTTCGTTGAGTGTTTCGGAATTTTGGAAGAATTCACTGAAATCTAGTAATTAACCGCAGCGCAATTCTCTATATTAAGGCATATATTGCACAGGAATTAGCTACAGTTGACGCAAGTTGTGAACAGTATTTGCACTATTTTAGACCAATTCTATTTTATCAACATTTTATACATATTTAAAACAATATCGAAAGAATAGAAAACTAACTGAGGGGCTAACAGGACTTGAAATAACAGCCGATATGCACCGATCAATGATCGGCAAGAAATTGAAGAAAAACAGGGTTTTTAATACCAGGAACAGCAGGAAAGTCATGACTGCCGATTATTATATGATCGGGAACTTTGTGAACCTTACAGTTCAAGCCCTGGATAGCTTATGGTTGTCTTTAGGAATGCGAATATTAACCTTGAATGCGCTTTAGCGACTTCAGTCCGGAATATAGTCCAGAATGAAATTTGACGGAAAATGGAAAAATCTGTGAATTGAAGAATAAAATGTTACTTGTTCCAGTACTTGTAATTTCAAAATTTTTCTAGATCGTTATTTATATTGAGTCAGTGACATTGCCAGTACTAAAATACTGGATGAGAGGTTCTCCAACTTGTAGTGTTGGTTACCATGGTAATAAATCCCAGCAAATTACACACTGGGTGCTAATGATCAATTAAAAATGTCCAGCATATAATAGGAAATTGAAAGAAATCAATTCGTGGTTAATAAAGATTGTACTAGAACAAGTCTTAATGGCGATTATTTCATTATGGCAAATTAGCCTTGTATTGCTACAGGCAACATATCTTGACGAGTGTGCCGCACAGTTGAGGCAGTACACTATCAACGTTTCTGTGGATACAGTAGGAATTTTTCATAGGGAAATCCAAGTTTTGAAGGATTTGTGAGAAATGTTTGAGAGGACTGAGAGTCTGAGTCACTGTTAAACACCGAGTCAGCTCCCTCAAATATTTCTTACAAATCGTTTGAAACTTAGAATTTACCTTTGATCACCTAATTCACTATGATCACAGAAACTTTGATAGTGTAAACCAGCTAGCCCTTGGCTTTAGACAAAAGGATAGGTCGCAGAGACTTTTATATCATCCAAGCTACGAGCAAATAACCAACAAGGCAACAGAGCGGGCAACATAGAACATTCGTTATTAGTGAGTTTAAGATACCCCGGTTTCGGGGTACGAGTAGTGTCATCTTGTTTACTAGTTTTGACAGTTTTTACTGATGTCTGTAATTCAATCATACTTTTCCTGTTTTCTTGCAATAGACAATGATATAATGCGAAAAATGTGCACCTTAATTACCAGTAAAGGTACAGACATGGACGAAAATATTGCTAACCAAAATCATGCTACCGGACCCGTACCCGTACACCGAAACCGGGGTATCTTAAACTCCCTAATTTCACTATTGTAGTGTGGTGTACGTATTTTGTCGCATGTATGTATAGTTATTTCTGATCTATTCTGAATCAAGTAGCTGTAGCTTAAATAATTGAGTGTAGACAGGAATATGCTAGATTTCGATATAATTGTTGAGACTATTAAAGCCCCGGTGACTAGGATGAGTGATGAGAGTTTGGCAGTCACGCATTATTACAGGGGACATTTCAAGCTCTAGATTAACAGAATAAAGGTTTGATGAATGTTCCAATTATGTTTTAACTTACCAATGAAGGTCGCGTGACTGTCCACTCTCATGGTTTCATCCAGATTGAACACAGACACAGTAATCAGCCTTCACATGCGCATTACTGATGCATTCTGATAACCGTTTGGATATTATTAAATACAATATGCATGTTATTAACACTTCGTCTGAATTTAACTCGATAACATCTTTATAATGCGATATGAAATTTAAAAAATTCTAATAGTCTTCGTTACAATTTATAGAACTTTTAAATAAAAATAGCGGATGAAAAGCCATGTTATAGACAAACAGAGGAATCTAGGTGGTTAAATGCAATATGAACCAATGCATGAAACTTCAAATGCAGCGCGTCAAAGTCTCATATACAGAACATATAATATTAATAATATTATCAGTAAATATTTTAAACAATTTTTAACATTCTAACCTTGTTCCCTCGCTGGCCATAATTCGTTAGATCTTCTCTCTCGCAACCTTGAAATACGACAAAACCTTTCACTCAAATATACAGATACAAGAACCATCGATCCAGTATGCAGAACATTCATTCAGACGTGTCCTACCCGGCAGACAAATTGTTAATTTGTATTATTATAATACTTCACACAGACTAATTGTTTTAATGTCATCAAGCTGTGCGCGCGAATTAAAACAGTCGCGCAAAGTTTTGCGCTTAGTTAAAATTTTCTGCGCGAGGCGAAATAACATTCTACGCGTTCTAGCTTGTTCATACAAAGTATGTTTTGCTTGTATTAATTGGTTTATGTCTAAGCACTGGTTATTTTTAGCAGCTTATCATGTTTGGCGATGTAATACGTGATGATATAAGTAGTGCGTATGAGGTGCTTCGCGTCAGAGCAAGTGCGTTTCCATTCGCCTTATTTTAATAATAGTCAAAATAGGGGAAACCTAACCCCGACCCAACCCCCCTCCCTAACCTCTAACCTCAATCTAATCCTAATCCCACATTAATCCTAATCCTTTTGGCGACCTTTTTTTTGAAAGGAATCCCCGGCTCGACCGACCTCCCTTTTAGGGCGATTAAAGTATTCGCCTCTATTAAGGTTACAGGACACCCTTTTTGGCGTTTTGCGGAAAATCGCTACTGCGCGCTCAAAATCAGTCCGATTTTCATTGAATTATATAATTAATGATGACCAGAGGTGAAAGTTTTAGAAGAATAATTAAATTTCAATTAATTTGCAATGCATGCATAAAAATGCTCTGCTATAACGTTTTACCCATTCCAGGGCTCATTAGGGAGTTAAAGCATTCAAATTCGAACATGCGGCACTAACGCTTGACTTCAAAGGGGAGCCTTTTTTTGGGACACACTGTATAACAGAACACGAATATATGAATATCTGCCCCA